ATATAAAATACCAATATATGTGTATGATAAATTTTAACTTAAATAAATTATTATCATTTAAAATTCAACCGTTGTATTTGTTTTTTCCCACTTTCTATGAATGAATAAAACTGATTCAAAAAAAAAATACTTCTTGATTAATATATGGGCTCAAAATTAGGATAGTGAAAGTAGGAAGTTAAATTTGCTAAACATTTTAATTAGTTTCATGTTTTTAGGGAAAAGAATTATTATTTATGCAGCTTTCTCTTTTCTTTTTTTTTTTCTAAGGTTAATAATTTTAAAGAGATGAAAACAATCAGAGATATTTGAAAGTAAGTATGGAAAAAATTGATAGATATAATCCTCTTCTTGAAAGTGTAAACAAACAAAATAAGTGAATTAATTGAAATATTTTACTGAGAATACTCAATTAATTATTATTATTAATTGAAATATATACATATGAGAATTTAACATTTTCAAGATTACGTACTGATAGAAATATGAGAAATTCTTTTCTTTCCTTTATGAAATAAATTTGAAATACGATAAATAAATAATAAGTATCAAATAAATATAAATGGATGTGCATGTATTTTTTTATATATCAGACTTACATTCATGGTATATAGGATTACTGTATTTGGAGATCATGGATTTATAGAAATTTCATTTAAATTTCAAATGTCATGGAATATATATATACATACTCCTGCAGCTTCCATGTTAATTGGTAAAAACGATAATACTTTTTCTAGTTTGCATGAAAGTTGTGGCTAAGAATTAATGGTAATGAAACGGTAACAAAATAACTACAGTAATTGTTAATGGTAAAAAAAATAGCCGCAGTAAACCCTAACGGTAAAAAACGACTACAGTAATCCATAATGGTAAAAAGCAACTACAGTAATTTTTAACGGTAAAAAAACAGTTAGTAATTGTTGGCAATGAAAGCAGAATGGATAATTCTATTACATGTAAGATCGACAAACCTTAAATAATTATGGTTCACGTATTCATGTGTGATTATACGTGTACTGTACGCTAGATTTAATGATTATGGTAATGAGGAATATTCAATGAATTCATCAGAATAGAGATCAAAAAAAAAAAAGATTCATTACTCATTTTATCATTAAATAAAATTTAAGTAACGATGAAAACCGAAAAGAAGGGGAATGAAAACAGAGAAGAATGAACAATTTCATCTGGAATTAATGTTTTCCGGTCATTCCGGATTACGATTACAATATCAACCAATAAATAATACTTAATACTAATTGTAAAAGCAGTATTACTTCTACCTTAACCAAAAACTCCTATATTTAAGATGTTTCCTTCTACTATTTGGATAATATGACAGATACCTGTCATTAATAGTAAAGTGATATTACTCCTTATCTCATACTATTTGGATAATATGACAGATACCTGTTATTAATGTAAATAGT